GATGCAGCAACACTGGCATAAAGTTTTGATATGGTGACGACCACGGAGCGCCGTAAATTCTGAGGAGGGTGCATGAGAAGCAGTGGAACCTTCGTAACACCTTCGCTTGCAGTTGAAGAGTCGAAGTCAAAACGAAACCAACTGCAATGCCACGTGTTCAGATCGAGGGCACGCCTTTTATATCCATTTTAACTCTTTAAAACGAGTAATTGGGCCCAAAACTTTATTTGTAGTGTGTAAGAAACTATTATCAAGACCCCTAAAATAAATACAAACATGGGCGACGTGAGGGAAGCCGCATTGCCATCGACCAGAATCAATGGAAGCGAGCACGGTAAGCGCGGGGTTCGCCATGTTCCGCGAGATGGCGTAATTGCTTTTGGTGTATATCTGTCTCCGAGACATGTTTCTTTCTGCAGCATTTGTCTCGACGGGCCTTTCTAGGTGTGTCCCCAAACATTCCGCTGCTTGATAGCCGGCAATGATGCGATCGTCGCCAGGGGTGATGCGTGCTTTCGAGGCCGGCTACGCGGTTATTCGTGTATGACCGAACCAAAACACGTATTTTAAACCTCTCATGAATTTTGAACGAATTATCCGTTACTCAACGTTAATTTTGTGGTAATTTGTGTAAATAGCGTGTTTTCACCCTAAATACTTACCAAACACACGGTACTTGCTAACAGTGTAGTTTTAGTTACCAAAAATAATGTGTTTAACGTATATTTTGCATGTACTTTACGCTCCTAATAGTTTAACCAACTCACGGCTCCAGTTATTCGGTAAGCCTAATGGCTCTGAACCTGCCGTCTGCTCACCTCGGTTGGCTTTCGGTTCGTTGGTTGCAGTTGCGCTCCACATTTACATATTTTTGCGATGCCGGAAGGACTGTCTGCCGCGATGAAAGGTCCACCCGTTAACTGGACCACCCGAGAGACGTGTGCACTCAAACCACCTGAGACGTACGCCTCGAATGTCTTCAGCCGCAGAAGCGGAACGACGGGTTCTGTGCCGGTATACTGGAGTCTTTAAAAGTCCTCGGGCTCCTAAAGACACGTGCCGTTGTCTATCACAACCAAAACCTCAAGCAACATGTTTGGGTAAGATATAACTTAATGGTGGGCGGGAGCACGCAAAACAATTAGCGGGAGGGCCGGCGGCCTAGTACTTGTGTTCGCATGTTGGGATCGCCACAGCACTGCGTACCTGGAACAAGTTTGTGGCACGACCGACTTGGTAGTGGTTCATAGTAGTGGTCTTCGTCTACCAGGGTTTAAAATTTCTCGAGTCTTGTTCAGGTAACAGCTCCCGAAGTTGGCTGACATGTTTTGTCAAAGTCACTACATTCGGGTAGAGATTCTGGCAGGAATGCAAGTCACCAAAAAAAGGTTACTTTTTTTAAGTTGTACAAATCTTCCAAATATTGTGTCATTTTAATAAACGTGGTAGAGGTATTCTCCGCTGTGAACTTTTACCGGCTTTTATATTCCCATTGACACGCTTCAAAAAATAAATCAAAAACATGCTGCATGAAGACAGTCTCACATTGTTCTTATTTCTAGCTTTCTTCACTATGAAATGAGATAATGCCATACTGTTTCAAAAGTAAATATGATACGTGTGTTTACTTCTAAGCATAATTTCATTAAAAATTGTATCTGTGCTCAATTTTATCTCAAAACACCTTGAATTTGTTTAATAAGGTATTGCACATTTACATTGAAAACAGTTGCTGCACAGGTGTCCCAGAAAACACATGCTGCTGGGGGCCACCATAGATGTAAGCAAAGTGAGCTGGCTAGATTCCAAAGAAGTAAGTTCCTGGGTTACGGCTTCTAAGTAACAAGTGGCATTTTCTTGAAGCCATGACCACTTGTGTGATATTCGCCTCACTCATTTTCAGACGTGCAGTGAAAACGCACGGTAGAAAGCGACCTGATTGAGGAGCCTTCTGGAAAATCAGCAATAAAAGAATTATCTGGGGCCGACAAGGACAGAGAACTGAGACCAGTGGCAATGTGAGTGATGATGCCAGGGGTGTAAGGGTCGGCCCACGAAATAATGCGCAGCTGACAAGAATGAAAAGTAAGAGGCCACATAGCAGTAGGAGGATCTTCGGCTCGGTTTCAAACCAGCCCGATAGGTTCCACTAGAGCACCCAGAAAATGCGAGAGTCACTTGCAGCAGCAGTGATGACTTCCTTATATAAAATCTATGGGCAAGGAGCTACACTCTATATAGCTATTGTATTAAATTGTAACAGATCAAACGAATTTGTTTAACAGCAATGATTTGTGATATTCGTATTTAGTGTAACTTTTCATCTTTAGAACTCTTCTATACCACACAGCAGCAGGCTTCTGTACATTTACTTTTACCAAAGCAAGGCAAATTGGGCATTTGTGCTTAGGCAGTATGTCCATTACTTTTTGAGGTATTGTGATAATACATCATGCTGTACATGAGAAGTTTAGCCAGTGCATTGACTGCTAGCCTGGTGATACACAAACGCACATTGGTATGATGCTCATACAGATTGAAATAGGCAGGGGCAACACCACTTGTATAGCAAGGAGTACTGAATTTACTACACTTACCACGATTGGCTGTAGTGTATACACTACACATGACTGCTGCATCTGCTTTTGGCTGGGATCAATGTTAAATCGGTGAAGCACTGATTGACCACGAGTCCTAGCCGAACGCTGACTTGCCACTAGTGTTCAATTGACATGCCGCGGTGCCGGGGTTGATAAATAAAGGTAGATGATGTAGTAAATTCACTATGCATGCGTTGATATTTAGGTGGTGTTGGCTAGGGTGGTCACTGAACATGGAATCCTTCAGTTTTGCAGCGAGAGTTTTCGTACCACGCACTCCCAGCTGCAGTGCACCAACACACTCGGCCTCCACTTTCTTTGATCCTAAGAAGACAGTTTTCATACCAGCTAGAAGCGGCAATGTTTCTCACACCGATTTGTACAGTTCATATTCATCAAATGTTGTCCTATAATAATTTCCTACCTTCCAAACACTCTAAGCAATTTCTAGAACCAGATTTTATCATCGTCTTGCAATACGCTTTGACGGTACGCACCAAGTTAATGGGTAACCATCTGTCTCTCAACTTTTCCAAATGTTGTCATGGTGGTCACCTCTAGGAAGACCACTGATAAGTAACCGGCGCTGACTCAAGCTAGCGACATTCTTCACCGCACTTAGCAAACCAGACTACCTAGAATTATATTCAACAACTAGCTCCAGTGCACTGCACGTATCTGAGAAGTGCTATTCAAAATCAGGTGGATGCAGGGATGTGGCGCTTGGGTCTTCGAGGGCACAGGTGCTGACACCCCAAACAGCTTTCATTTTTGGTCAGGGATGTTGCAGTTTTGATTCGCCCTATTATCTAAAATTAAGTTCTAAACAATAAGGTGCACTCTCATGTCTGACCTGGCAGTCTACTGAAAGCTTAGTATTTGTTACTGCAGATCTTGTAATGTGATTGGTACTTATCAAATCTGTCACGGAAGTCTTCAGTTATCTTCCCCTATTCTTGCGAGACGTCTGGGCACATTATTTGTCAGTTATCCTTCTCGTAGTCTGTTAGTAGGAGAAAGGGTAATAACTTGACACTAAGTCTCGGAAACAGGTGTCCAGCTGTAGGTTTCCATCCTTGGACCAGAATGCGGCCTTGAAATTCTCCTGTCTGGGACGCTCATATCCAGCGACTACCTTCCAGTCGGCTGTTGGGCCGTGTAGGTTGCGGAGGGCGACAGCGAAAACTGATTTCAATGTTCTCACTGCTGTGTGTGTGCATAGTTGCCCTTAGTCTGCGACAATGTTCGTCTGCCACTAGGCTCCATACAGCTCCCATCCCGGAAGGAGAGGCGTCGCAGGACAGCACTATGAGACGTGACACATCGTATTGTGTTAGAACAGCTGAGGATCTTAGCAGACCCTTGCCACGCTTGTACGCCTATGCTTCCGTCTTCGATCATGTCCAGACCTTATACTTATCTAGGAGGTGATGAGGCAGCTCCAACACATGGGCGGTCCACTCCAGAAAACTACCATAAAAGTTCAGAGCTCCCAAGGACGACGTTGGCTCTCTTGTTCGTCGACTCCGGAGCTTTCTTGATTGACACCACCTTTTTAACTAAAGGACTGATGCCATCCTTGTTGATACGGCACCCCAGGTACGATACTTCCTTGACTCAGAAAGCGCACTTTTCAGCTTTCAGACGCTTGACATCGTCCTGGATGCGCTGCAGCAGCTTCTGCAGCCAATCACCGTGTTCAGCTACCGTTTGTCTGCCAATGAAAATGTCATCCAAGACACTGCACTCCTACAAGGCCGTTCGAGAGTTCTTCCATATAACGCTAGGAGAGGGTCACAGCCACGGCCACACCAAACTGTAGTCGGGTCACCTTGAAAAGCCCCTTGTGCTTCGTTGCAGCCAACTACAGGGCAGTGTCCTCGTCGACGCCAGGTTGCTGATAAGCTTGGTCTAAGTCAAGCCGGGGAAACACTAAGCACCCTCACAGCCTTGATTGTGGCGGTTGCAAAGTGGGCACCGGATAAGTTTCCCCCTTGACGACTGGTTTTAGAGTTCTCTTGTAGTCATCGCAAATTCTCATATTCCCATATTTCTTTAGAACCGGGACAAGAAGCGTCGCCAAACGAGATTGATTGACATTAACTAAGATACCTTGTTCCGCCACCTTCTCAATGTGTTCGTTCACTTTCGGAAGAAGCGCGAACGGTGCTAGACGTGCCTTGTGGAACTTGGGTGAGGCTTGATGCTCCACTTCAATTCGCACCGGGCGACCCTTTCTCTTCCCCAGATGAAGCATGAACACTTCCGAGAAGTCTTCAAGGAGCGTTTTCACCTTCGTCCCCAGTGTGTCATGCTGGCCTACAACTGGCCGGCTCTCCCCAATGCAGTTCCGGAAAACGGGGGCTCCATGAAGCTGGTGAAGCCCTACCACGGAGATACCTAACGGTTGGAACCAGTCTTGTTCCAAAAAGTTAATTTCGGCCCTTTTCGTGACGAGTAAAGGAAGCTGAGCTTCTCTGCCATCATACTTGACCTGCGTTTTCACCTCTCCCACGAGATGCACAGGTTGCTGAGTGTAATTTCGCACTCCTAGCGTGCACGGTCGAAGCGCCTTCATCGAGATTCTTAGCTTGCACATTGTCCTTTGTCCTCACGTTGGCAAATGAGCATACGGAAACCGGAGTTCACCTCCATAAATGCCGTACAGCCCGGCGCGTCCCGTTTTGTGAGCACTTGACTTTCTTGGGCGGTTTTCGCTGCACTAGGTTAGGCTCCTTTCCGCTTCCTTCTGACGGCAGGCTCGGACGAGGTGTCCCTTCCGCTTGAAAGAAAGAGCACTCCGCGTTGCGGGAACCCAGTTCGTAGCGTCCTGGTCGCCGTTGTAGCGAATGCATCGCCGCGTTACCGACTCTCGAGGAGGCTTCGGTGTACCACCCAGCTTGGTGAGATCCTTGGGCATTTGCTGAATGCGATGCAAGTCGGACGTCGGCGGCGCAGGTAACGCCTTGATGATATGTTGCGCTTGCCGGGTGACATACTCAGAAACGACAGCAGTCTCAAGCGCCTTTTTGATGTCCAATGTTGGTTCGGTAAAAAGACGACGCTGCACTCCTTCGTCCCGGACGCAGCACACCAGACGGTCACGTAACATGTTGGACAAGGTTTCACCAAAGTCGCAGTGTTCGGAGAGGCGGCGCAGGGCGGCGACAAGGTTTGCGATGGTTTCTCCCGGCTGCTGGCTGCGCTTATGAAACGCAAAGTGCTGAACAACGGCTGACAGGCGCAGTCTGAAGTGGGCGGTGAGCTCTGACACAATGTCCGCGTAGGGAGTTTCTACCGGCGTCGCCGGCGCTCACAACAAGCGCATGATGGCGTAGGTTGACGGTCCACGAACGCTACAAAGGACTGCACGTTTTTGGGGCCCTCGACAACATTGTTCGCGTTGAAGAAAAAGTCGAGATGCTCCTGGTACAGGGGCCAGGCTTCTGCCCTGTCAGGGTCGAACTCTTCGGGATGTCCCAGCCGTCCATGACGACAACGTTAGGGCTTATCATTTTCTGCCATGTGCTCTCGTCGTCGCCAAGTCGCCGCGAAGCTGTCGTAGCTTTCAAAAGTGCGGTTGCGTGCCCCGGAGGTTGAGGTTCGTCTTCCTCGTCGCCACCTGTCATGTATTACCCAAAGCCTTTATTGAGGCATCTGAATCGACTGTACAGAAAATAGGAGTTACACAAGAGGCACATGGTTCATGGCGAATTGCCGGAACGGTGAAGAGTTCGGTAAAACCAGGTTGGCTCGTTTTGGCTTGAATTCTGCTGACTCGCGGATGTTGCCAGGCGCACATACACACCACTCATGATGCTAGATTCCGTTTCACTTTAAGCGCGAGCTCTAGGCTTTCAATGCCCCTACCAAGCATGCACGCTCAAGTAGTGGGAGCATCGTTCAGGGAAACATTAGATTCCGTTTCACTTTAAGCGCGAGATCTAGGGTTTCAACGCCCCTACCAAGCATGCACGCTCAAGTAGTGGGAGCATCGTTCAGGGAAACATGCTCATGGTCATAGTCTCGGCTTCGCTCGTGCATGAAGTAAATGAAACCATAGCCTCTGTGTCCACTCTAATTCTCTAAGCCAGTAGGCGGAAATTTATCCATCACTACAAAAAGTTGGGAGTGATGCCGATAAGCGCGGGAGGGTTGTCACGTGTACGAAAGTGACTGATTGATGTTCAGTTACCTGCGAGATGATGTTCTATGGCGGGTACGGTTCGAGCATGTTGGATGTCAGCAGGAACACGTAATTACACAGAATCCGTGTAGACACGGCGGTCCCGTTGACTGTTACCATATGTGCCTGGGGCGTCACAGCTTTCTGAATGCTAGCCAGTGCCGACATCCAAAACATGGTCATGACACTGCCACAGCATCCCAACGTTCAGATACTAGGACTGGTTGTAGGGGTGTAGCAGAGCTAGAAGAACATCTGTAGCTAAAGAGAAACATTGCAACAGATGCATCAGTCCTCTAGGCATCAAATATCTTGCACATTAGACATACACTAATTCTCAAGATTGGAGATCCGACGGGGAAGCAGAACAGTTAAAACTTAACCACGGAATGTTTCCACGGAGCTAGCATGGAACGTTTCTTTGGAAGTCCACAGAATGGAGCACCTTCTATCTATAGCTTCAAAACCTAGTAAATAAAGTGCTAGAAGCTGGCATGCTCATCTATTATTTACAAACAGTTATTTAGTAATTTTAACCTCGTGAAGCGTGCTCCTCTATTCCCGTTTTATTACAACTGAAAAGACGTTCAGTCCAGTTTTGTTTTATTCACATCGAAACCCGTTAAAGAATAACTCAATATTGGCAGGAGCTATATGAGCCCGTTTTAAGTGGGAACCTGTAATAGAAAGACAAGCGATGTATTTTTAAAACGTTTGCAAATTTGTGAGTTTCAAACAAGATCGCCTGAATTTTTGAAGAGCTAAAAAAAACATGTTGTGATATCTATTTTATTAATCCAAACATCAATATATCTTAATAAATTGTATTTCTTTACAATCAACATTTTCTTTTTTTTTGTTGCAAAAATGGCACTTATTACTCTATGTAGTTTTGGTAGTCGCTGGCGCTGGAACTTGATGTCACAGGTTGCAATCGTCCAGCGACTCTCTATGGCCTATGGGAATCCGGGGGCAGAAGTCACTCATGAGCTCCCCACAGAAGGTTCCTTGCGGTTCTTGGACCTCCGATTAATTTTTTTCGGAGCATCATGTATGCTGGTCATACAAACCGAGGGGGAAGAAACCTCTTCTTAACTTTCAGTCAGCACATTCCAAGCTTGTTAAGCGAGGCATTGTTAAATTATGTCTCACCAATGCGCTTAATAAGTTTTGTATTCATTCACTTAGGGTTAGCTTTGATGCTCAAATTGCCAGGTTAAAGTCAACAGAATATCCTAGTACAGGGTGTCACAAAAGAAAATTTACACGGTCTTTTTTACCGCAAAAATAAACTAGGCATCGCCGAACGCTCATTCTCCGCCCAAAGGTAGAGCTAGAGGTCACAACCAGATGCCAAAGTTTCAGCCCGATCCGATAACTTAATCAAAAGTTATAAGTGATTTTCTGAAAAGTTCAATGGGAAAATGTAGCCCATTTTTGCCTGTTTTCGGTTTCTGGCGCCATAGAGCCCCATGTGTTTGAAAACTCCGTCGGCCGCCATTTACCCATTGAAATTTTCAGAAAACCACTTATAACATTTGATTAAGTTACCGGATCGGGCTGAAACTTTGGCATCTGGTTGTGACCTCCAGCTCTACCTTTGGGCGGAGAATGAGCGTTCGGCGATGCCTAGTTTATTTTTGCGGTAAAAAAGACCGTGTAAATTTTCTTTTGTGACACCCTGTACATTACTTACAGCCGTGGCAGAGGATTTATTAAAGAAAATAAGATAGGTGAACGACCTAAACGCAATACAGAAAAGAAAAGGACGGCCGTTGTTCCCTATATACATAAAGTTTCGCACGGTCTTAAAAAGATAGGTAACCGCAATAACATTAATGTTGCTTTCTCAGCACCAAATAAGCTTCTCAGCCTGTGCAGGAAGGTAAACGGATCGGCACACCGGGAAGTTGGTTGTTCAAAAAAGCACCAAAAGAGCTTTGTAAATTGTACTGAAGGAGTCGTATATTGTGTCCCACTCTCATGTGGTAGAGAGTATGTAGGCCAGACTGGAAGGTGTTTGAATGATCGTTTAAGAGAGTATTTTTATAACACCCACCGAGTCGTAGCTGGACACTTGGGAATCCATTGTCGCGATTGTGGCTGTGTAGTACATTATAAAAATTGTTCTGTAATAGGTAGGAGTTGAAACGCATTGACAAGAGAAATAATGGAGGCGGAAAGGATAGCACAGCTGAAGGACAAGTGTGTAAGTAGTCTTTCTATAGCGCTGTCGACCAAAGAACTCCAATTTCTATCTAAATGATAGCTTATGAAACGCAAAGCGCTGAACAATCGCCGATAGCGAAGAGGGAGAGGGACGATTTGTAAAAGTTTTTCGTTTACATATTTTTTCCGTTTCTTTATTTTTATCTTCTTTTTTACTGTTCTTTTGCCTTGTCTTTAGAATTTTCCTTGTACTTCGTGCTACTTCTTCTACTTATCACGTTCTGAAAATTCAACCCAGACGTTGAAGAGAAAAATGAAGTAGTCGAATACACAAGAGTTGTAAGTTCAGCGCGTGTGCTTGTCTTCCTGAGTGTCTGGTGTGAGATGGGTTTTCCCGGCGCTGTCACTGTCAGGTAAGCGTGTGTGCTTAACCGTTCAGCGGCCTCGGCAGTGCTCAGGATCTTCGGCCAGTCGCGTCCGAGGCTGGATGCGATGACTTGGCAGTAAAGTGAATTACGACGAGCACGTTACAATACAATACGATACAATAAGCTTTATTTTTCCAGAAGTACTGGAGGGGTCCCCAGACAAAAAGCTGCTAAAAGCAACTTGACTGGGTCTGGGCTCCCCTTATACATGGCAGCAACTCGGACGACAAACATATAAAACACTTTATCAGTAATATATAAAAAATAAAACAGTCATAACACTGAAGTAACAGAAAACCAAAATTAGTTATTAATAGCTTAAACAGTAGGTGTGTAGGTCTTCTTTGCCAATTTTTTAGATTTTTATGTTGTTCGTAAAACATTTATTTAACACGTACGGTACATTGTAATGCAGTGACTGTAAGTTGTAATATGTGCGGCACCGAGGAAGGAGCGAAGTGTCTACACGGCGTGTGTTTATATTACTTTCATGTTTCTGAAGTTCAGAAATAAGATATAAAAAAAAAAAATCAATACATGCTGGTAATGAGAAACGAAGGCTACAGAGTAAACGATAATTATATACGCAATCTACAGGACGTATTTGATATCTAGTAAATGATGGTTCTGTATGGTCTGCATATGAGACACCCGCAATATAACGTAAAACTTTTTTTGCAATAATAGTAGGTTTTAAGGTTTGTGTTTATTGCCGTAGCCCATACAAGATGGCAGCAATTTACATTTGACTCAAATAGTGCGTAGTAATGTTTTAACTTCATACTGATTGGTAATACATGACGACAGCGGGCAATA